GTGAACAAAGGAAACCACCAGGTGGTTTTCAACACAACTCTCCAACTCGGTCAGTTGAATAGATGGGAGGTGAGAAAGTGTTGAATCGATGAACATTTGGATCATGTGCTTTTCCAACCGAGAAAATCTTTTGTTGTGACAATCCCGGGCAAAATGTGCATTGGNCCCCAGTGCCCGATCCAATTTTCTTATTTCCGACATCCTTCGTGGTTTTAAGTCAGCCATGAAACTATGTTTCCGTTTAATTCTAGCGTGGCTGCTTAAACATTCCAATGTCCAAGCAATGCGACGGGTACAGAAGGCAAGTTTAGGCGCAACACAAAAGATAAAATACCCCCAAAACGACCTGACCCGTGTGGAACGTACAGAATCAGAGATGTTCAGAATTAGTTGGTAACTGCGATTTGGAGTAGCAACTTCTTTTCAGTTACATTAAAGTGAAAAAAAGTTTTTAAAACTTAAAAAGAACAAATCTAAGAGATTGAGATACCAACACTCCACAGGTACACGTCTATCGATTCAACAAGATCAGTGCAACCCGATCACTGGAATAAGTGCATAGCATCGATTTGAGTTTCGCACTCGGTTTTGAGGACGCTAATGGAAATGCGTTCTGCCAAACAGAGAAATCAATTAATCATGCGTTTTTTAGTCAATGAACTGTCGGTTTCGCAATAACCAAGCCATTGAGGTTAGAAAGTGTGCAGCATACAATCGCACCGACTTACCGACCGACCGCCTAGTCGGCCGATCAAACACACAAATCACACCGTTTGGCCGCCTTACGCGATTCGGCGACCGGGTGAGGACGGTATTAGGGCCAAATGCAGTAGGGTATCTCACACCAGATGCGCAGTCTGCAGTGAATCCATAAAAACTTTGAAGTCACGAGGAGTAGGCCGCATTGCGATAAACGGTTACCATTCCGGTAAATCCGTTTGCTCCTCCCACCCTCGAAAATCAGTCTTTTCTTCTATGCACGACTTTGACACGGAACGATCAACTTATGTTCACAGGATGAATCCAAAGGAAGCTACGTTTGGGTAAACCATTTAGGATCTGATTAGTCGGTAGCGAACTGCCCTGAATTACGAAGACTGGTGACCTTCTAAACGTTCAGCCAGTACGACAAGCAAGGTAGCTCTCCAAGGATTCCGTGGTTGAATTGATTTGGATAAACTCCTTCGGAGATCGTTGATTCCCCACGAGGTAGAGGCATTCACATGCGTTGGAATTGTTTGTGATGAAGGATAAAAAGTACTGGACAGCTGTTTCCTCCTGTCTGGGACTAGCCAGCAGTGCGCAAAATTTGTTTGTGTTCCTGTCAGGACTTAAGCCACCAACATTTGGGTTAGGAATTCAAAATCTTACCCCTGAGCTACACGGTCAACGATCATCGCCTTGTGTGAATGGCTCAATCAATTTAGAGTATCATATTTAGATTAACCCTTTCTATTGTTTTGAGACACCAAGCGCTCTTGATTGTCCTGACCGGAACAAAAAATGCGCACGGCTGACGAGTCCCAAACAGGACAAAACCGCTCTTTCCAGTGCCGGTTATCGGTCATCATAAACATGTCCAGCCTGGTTTGTTATTGTCTAATCTACCGCGTGGTGATGTAATAATACGGGATCTGCGCACTGGTCTTTACTTGTTTTATGAACCGATTCGTGTGAACACAAGTTTACATTTGTTCCAATATAAACAGAAGGCGATTCCTCCCCCCTCCCCCCTNCCCCCTGGAGACCACAGCAGCAGCTTCATCTCGGACTACGTTCTTTGTAGAATTACATTTACTGGTTCGTATTTCCCACTACCTGAGCTGGGATATAATATTGCATACAAAAGTGTAATAAGTAGGCTTAGGTTATGACATATCTCAGTTGAATGGGTGACTTGTATATGTGAAAAGCTCGGTGCTCTGTCAGTGTAATCTCACAGCTCAGCTGTGATAGATCGTGCGCTGTACAAAAGCGTAGGCCGCCTCCATGCGTGGGTTCGAATCCCATCAAGGCCACTGAACTTTTCACGATTTCAGCATAAGAGCGCAACGTCCAAGCAACAATTTGAGCAACATCTGAAGTAGTTCGTCTACTAAATCCATTGCTGAAGTGGTGAAGTTGGCACAACCGGTCGCTTTCTTTACCTCCTCCACTTTCATTACGGGTTAGTCCCGGGGTCATGCCCGATGCCCAATCTGCCAAGCTTTTGATGCTAGGTGGACTCAAAGCATGCACTAGTGAGTAAGCCCGCGTGCGTGAACGAGAGAGGGACAGAAAAAGAGAATGAAATTTTGTTGGTCTGTGGGTGTGTGGAGTGATGGCCATTCACAGAGCATAGGGTGTCTGTCCCAGCAAGAACCGCACGCTGAATGGATGGGCAAACGTTCGCGCACGTCAGTACGCACGCACGCACGCTCATGTGCGCTCGAGCTCGTGAGTGCGCACGTGTGTGTGTGTGTGCACGCGCGCGCACGCGTTCTGTCCTGCCACGAACTGCTCTGAGCTGTGATGGGCACAAGTTAGTTAGGGTCAACATGCGGATACAAGTCACACTTGAGGAATTCACAATTTATTGTCACCTGGCCAAACTTGGCCTGGATGCAGTTCTTTCCTGAACAGGGCAGTGCCAACACAAGAAAGAGACTATTGTTCTTCGGACTGATACATTTTCATAATACTAAATAGGTACAAACTTACGCACACACACACACACGGACGTGCCCCCAATCGCACACACACACACACACACACACACACACACTGAAACACGGGTGCCAGTGTGCCTAGCTTCATTTGGTTTTTCGCAGTTTGTCATGGCTGAACCAAGTAATTATCACCACCGGTTCACAGGTACGGACGCGAACCACATGAGCAAATCCACGTGGAATAAATCCATCCGGCTGGGTCTCTCAGATCAAATTTAACAGAGCAAGGCAAGAAATTGAACGAACTTTTGCATCCGTGCCTGGAGAAGATTGTTCTCTCACTCGGAATCAGAATAAGAGAGGGCGTGCACACACACACACACACACACTCACACACACAAAAGCAAAATATCAATGTGACCACACCTGTTCGACAATGCAAGCACTGACGTTGACAATCCTTGCTGTGATAAGTGAGTTCCGGCCCGTACATGTAAGATTTGATAGTGATTTTTGATAGGGCGCAGTTTCTACCACCTCAACTATTCCCCTGTGTGGCAGGTAACCCCAAACCGAGAGGTCATGAATTTTTAAACAGCCCGGGCGTCAGTGTTGTCACAAAGGGAAACGTACCTTACCACACGGGAAATATTTGGTCTTGAATTATGTTGAATATTTAGTAGGACACTGAGTAACATCTAATGCATCGTTTACTCTTGTCTTTAACTCCATATATGGATATGTTTGTTCTTGGTCAATGCTATTGGTGTGGCCTCGTAGCCCTCAGCTGTTGGGGAGCGTGCGCTATACAAAAGCGTAGTCGGCGTCCATACGTGAGTTCGAATCCAACCGAGGTTTGTGAACTTGCCACAATATCGACATACAAACTTCAAATCTGCAAAGAAAAAATTGACGTGTTAGGGAAAACGCAGTGCGGAAATATACTTGTTCTATTCATTGATATTTTCAGTTATGCGGATTCAATGCAATACAGTTTAGGATGGTATGAGAAAATTCAATTCAATGGAGGGATGGCCTTGTTGGTTTGTTTCTATGTGAAAATGGAGGATATTCGAACCCACTTCTAAATTATTTTGTTCAATGGGATTTAGTGGAGTGAGTATTTGAATTTAACGAAAAGGCTCTGAGTTACATATAAATCCTTTATTGTATAGTACCGGAAAACTCCGTGCAGTTTGTATTTGAAGAGATGTTAACTTTTTGCAAGTACACGGTTCTGATGAATCTGAAAACAATGTAGGAAAACTAAAGGACCGAAAAATTTGAGCACCAATGGTGGAAGTTGAACAGATCCATGTGGCCATGGAAAATACTATCATACGCTCCTTTCTATCGAAATGACAAAGGTCGGACAAACACTTGAACAGTCTATGGGTTAACCATTTCATTCCCAGCTCTAGTTTTGGCATATTACTTATGTAATTCACCCTTTCTAAAGCAACAAGCTTTTTTCACTGTGATTCCATTCTAAGCAAACCGCCAACAAGGGGCACTGGGAAGCTGTTATTTTGTGCTGCGGTCCGACTCTTCGGCAGTCTGCTACTGTGTGTCACCTGGGCAAACTCAGACTCTCAACTCTCACACAGTCAATGATCCATATCTTCGGTGCATGCCTACGGGAAACAGACTTTCTGATTGTAATTTATACGTGAATCTACAGATATCAGGAGGGGGGGGGGGTTGTGCACACAAACAGCACTATTTTTTGCTTTGACCTAACAGAAAGAAAACACCAATCGTTACTAATCATCACAGACGACCGTCTATCGTTTGTGAACGGGGCGAACACGTTCGAGCTCGGCCAATGAGTGAGACCCATGATGTGATACAATACAGAGAACTTTTGTGTTGGTCGATCCGCGTCAAACCAAACGAGAAACGTTGTTCACGATACCCGTTTTTTTCACAGAGAACACTTTTGTTAATGTAATTTGAGGATCACTCAAAACAATAATTTGTTTAAGGTCTTCATTAAGATTTGGAAAACACCTTCGTGCTCGTCTTCCTACTATTTCTTAGGGCATCCTCTTTTTACAAATCAAGGGAAAGTACACTTTACCGTATTCTGTGATTATGCTAGGTATAAGAAAGTAATAGAATTTTGTGTCAGTTTGAACAAATCTCCACTGTTTCTATCTGAGTCTTAATTGTCAGTGTACACATTCCCTCCTCGTCCGGTTGAATTCAAAATCCGATTTAGAGACACATCTGATGATTGGAACAGAAGCTGTCTGGAACTCCAAGTGCCAACTACTTCACTACCCGGCATTCCAATCCAGACGCCTCTGGTGGACGCATGATGGACGTCTGCTACCCCCGCTCACTTTCCAGATGCGTAACCTATTTGGATCATCCCAAATTCAGGGACGATTTGATCTGGCCGCGGCAGGTGAGGGCTGGAATCAGATGTTTGTCTCACCAGACGGTCAATCATTCTGGGTGCAGCAACTCTGTATGGATCGCTTGGGAAGTGCGGGATTAACATCCGCAGACATTATCGAGCCGCACATTCAACCCCTGTTCTACGGGATTCGTGCATCGACCAGTTCATGGTGTCAAGCTGTTCGTGGGACGGTGTCCCATACAACAAATTCTCATAATATGGGTTCGGTGGCAGCCTACCCGATTCACTACGAAGTTCAATGTGTCAAACAGCAACAGTTTGGACAGAAATTGCGATTACTGATTCGGTTAAAACTGGATCAAATAAGGTTTGTGCTGGGAAAAGGTTTTCATAAAAACCACATTTTGGACGTTCGTTGCATAAACAACAATGCATTCATGGCGTCATTGAAAAAAAAAACAATTTGGCAAGCTGAGTGGTAGAAATATAGGGAAAAATAGGGAAACATTTATTTTGAATTTCAAGTTTTAACGTCATACTTTTAAGATTTGAAGAATAACTTAGAAGCTCATGTTTTTCTTGTCCCATAGGAATGTGTTGTCGGTAAAAGACTGATACATGCAATTCCTTGTGTAAAAGGTCACAAGAAACGGACTTCTACCGTTACACGTAGCTTCACTTATGTTGCTAATGCTAATGCTTCAATTCCTAGTTTGAAAGATACAACGCTCGGCGCACAGTCGAGGTGATGGTGAAAAAGAGTTTCAAACCAAACACATTCTGACTGCGAATGACTGATATCGGCATTCCAATCAGCATTAGTTTGAATGGGGATGTGCTCTGAGATGAACGTTGGTTGATAATTTGAGCAGCAGGCAACTCTGATGCACCGGTAGTGATTGGAACATGACCTCAACGACTCCAGTCTCTCTGCGAAGGAATGCGAAGGAATCCCTAAGCAATTTTGGTGGCTATCCTTTGGGGACGCTTGAGCACTTTACAATCAAGTAGCCATAGATTCCATGCCTAAATAATGTACTCGGTGAGTAGACAAATGTGTGCTGATAGAAGACAGGGAAAAGCGCTGATTCAGAATGGCCAAAGACACGCCGAGGCAAACCGACATTCTTTACAGTTGCATTTGACATATTGGCGCAGGTGAGTGAGTGGCCTATTTTTTCTCGAATGGTGATGCTCAAGTCCTTCTCACTTGAGGTATGTGTCAGTTGTTCAATTCCGAGGAAATACGAAAATCGCCCCTGGTGTAGAAGAGATGGAGCCTTACGCTTTGCTACATTCAATTCAATATCGTTCAGAAGAGACCAGAGGTCAGCGGCTTCCCGTGTTTCCTGGAGTGCCAGGGAGCCCACTGGTCCCGTTAGTGTATTCCAAATTTAGGCGTCATTCCAAACAGTAATGACTTTGGCCCCAGAGTCTCCGGTGGGTCGTTCACGAATGTTAGAAAAATTCGCGGGCCAAGCACAGATAGTTATGAAAATCCACGGTTAGCGTACGTAGAACTGCAAAGCAAATCAGAAACACTAACCAGTACGGTCCGTTGTCGGAGAAATGCTTCAACTCAGTCAAGAATAAAGCCGCAACTACCATAATTGTTGAGTCTCCGCAGTAGAATGTTGTGGTTTACACGATGGAACGCTTTTGAGAATTCCAGATTAATAACGTCTACCGCACCGCCGTGATTAACTGTTTTTTTTGTCATTATTTTCTTGCGATGATTAAATTGGTAGCTGAGGACGGCTTCTGTTGGAATCCATATTGCTTCGGTGAAAAAACTTTGCGCTGCTCTCGGTGTTCCATCAGGGAATCTGCTATTATGGATTTCGTGACTTTGGACAACACTGGAATGGGGCTACAGACCAGTAGTTAGCTGGATCGCTACGGCAGCCGCCTTTGTATATGGATGAAATTACTCCCTGCTTGAACAACAACGGGAGCATTGCGGTGTGATCAAACATCCTCTGGAATAGGAAGGCTAGTGACTCGGTTATTTGATTTGCCAAGCATATAAGGGTTTGGGTGTGAATACTGTCTGCATCTAGCGATGAATTCTTTCTCAACGCCGATAGCTATGCTGTAATCTTTGCGATGGTGAATGATATGGTGTTGAGTAAAGGATGTGGAATTCGATGCATCCAGAGAGCAGGGTACAGTCCTTCATTTGTTGACGCAGCCAACATTACTGGGTTTTCTGCATTTTCATCGTATCGATTTTCTCTTCTAGATCAACTGAGCACCGGTATTTCATGTTAAACTTAACGAGCTGAGCTAATATGTTTCTGCAAAAGCTTGCGGTTCGAAACAAATCTCTGTGCCAGAGATTCGTGATGGTTTAGTTTGTCTTCGCACACCAGCCTGGTGCGGTAGTTTCGCAGTAGTCGGTAATTGTTTTGCAGATGTATGTATTCGCCAGTCGTTTGTACTTTCTGCAAGAGAGGTCCCTCAGAAATATACATTTTTGTACCATAACAAAGCTTTTAGGAAACAGTGATAATTGATACCAGAACTCTATTGAATACGACGCAGGACAGCACCCCGACATATAACATTATACAAGTTACGAGTAACCCAAGGACATCCTCTAGGAATTCGTAAAACCTCTTCAATAAAAAAGGACAATTCTAAATGCGTCGGCCGTGAACGTGTGATGCAGTTTTGTGCATTTGGATGAACCCTTAGAACTGTTTCAGTTTATGCAGCGATCATGATGGAACGCGTTCGAAAAAAAGTGTGTCCTCGTTTGTTCTCTTTTGGAATGACGCTTCGCCTCGTTCGTTTCAACGATGGATTAGCAATTTTACTCGCTCGGACAGAAATTGACAAAACGAGACCGAGCGAATATAATCTTGATTCCGATTTTGACCGGTGACTATCACGCAACAAAAACACACCCTGAGTTCGCAGTTTGCATCTCACCGGGCATCTCTCCTGTCTCAGGTGACAGCCATATATATATATATATATATATACGCTTCAGAGCAAAAATCAATGCCCTAATCAATTTGACTGTGTGAAAAAAATAACTGTAACACTGGGGTGGAATGTTGCATGCAGAGCACGGTTGGGAGTGCCAGTGACAGTGTCGACAACGCTTAGTTATCCGAAGTGAATAGTCTAATCGGAGCCAACTCAAAGCATCGTTTTTGCAATGGCAACCCACTTAATTGGGTTCCATTTATCAGTGAAAACGTTCAATTTTATTCCCACTTTATGGAATCCCATTTTAATTGGTACTAGAAAACGCACTGCATAGAGTATATATATTTGATAATAAGCAGTATTTGAATGACTGGGCAAAATTTCCCTGGAAGCACCCGGCCGGTTTCGCGGTTATGGCCGCTCGTCAGGCATGCGTATCTGGTAATCTTTTTTCAGTTCATTCATATACTTGTCCACAGGAAGTGTAGTTTCGTCATAATAACCTTGTTTGCAACACCCGGTGGCCATTGGATATATATATATGTATATATACTGATCATACTCGTTCAACATGACTCTTGTTTTTGATAAACATCTCAGTTTCCATTATCATACCTTTATATTGACTGCTATGTATACATCGTATTTATTCCGAGCTGTATGACCCAGTTCTATGTTCCTAATTATCACTGCTTGCATTTGAGCGACCTTGAGTGTCATGATGCAATTTGTAGCAGTTCGAAAAATATTGGTAATATTTGGAAAATGTTTTATTTGAAGCAGTTTCTAAATTCCGTCTTGATAATAGATGAAAATGTTTTACGAGAGTGGTTATTAAGTTGAACACAGCTATTCCAGATTGCTGCACTCTTTTCATTCAGTAAGTAGTAAATAACTTAATTAAAGGAAATTTCCCAGCTTAAATGCATAAGTAAATTATTTAGCTACAAACCACTTACACATTATCCCTAATCCTGGAAGATATAAGCATATAATCCAAGGAACATAAAATTTAACCTTGAGGTGCGCGGTTCGTTGAATAAGTGTTGTGAAGTCACCATTCTCAAACTGGATGAAACATTCAACAGCTTTTGACATACAGTTGAAGCACATGAATCCCATGACTTAGTTCGTGTCTTGTGCAAATGCTTCAGTGTGAAATGATGCACCAGCAACCGTTGTCGAGCTCGATATATCGTTCATCTTAGTGAAGTTGAACAAATAGAACCAAAAACGCTGACTGGACAATAATACACATTTGTTACGTCTGATGTGCTGTGATACCATATTCAATCCCTTGAATGAGGATCAAAACACTGAGCGTTTGGAGGGAAAAATGTGATAAAAGTCAAGGTGCTGTTGCACGCGTTTGATCAACTGTTTCATTGATTGTGCAATTTGCACTGTTATATTTCTTTCTAAACTAACGTTTTACCAGCATTTACATCGATTAAGTTCCATCAATGTTACTGGTTAAGCCTGCAGCAGGTATCTTCGTTTTGAACAGGTAAACAGCAAGAGCGCATAGTATGGGATTCTGAAATAAATGCACATTTAATGATCCCACTTCGGCCTCTTTTTTCCAGATGGGTATATCAGTGTTTACAGATCAAATCGCATGCAGACGCTTCCGTGATACAAATGCTTCAGAGTAAGTCCCTTAGAAACCGCAACACCGTTTAGGATCAGAATGTGCGGTTAATTTATTTGAAGTAGTTCATTAATATCACCTGTGCTAAGAATATGCGACAGAAATGGTAAATATAATTTACAAACTGTGTACCTTAGTAATAACAATGTTTCATGTTCAAAAGAAGTGAGTCATTTTTTTCAAAATGCTCTCAACTAAAATCAGTTACTATTCGATGTATAATATTGTTCAAACGCTCTGCAGTTTGCAGTAGAATCACATTCCGTTTCGTACATTATTAGTGTCAAATGGGTTGTATTTCCCGAGAGGTCAATTTACTTGAATAACTTTATCAATGTCGAGGCATGCATGCATTTCGAAGCAATGAGAATCATAGAACTATTTCACACTTTTATTCATATTCGTTCTTTGAAAGCCGATCTCGCTGACACTGCTGTACTGTTCTACTCGTTCTAGGCCAGTCATATGCGTTTGAACCGAAAGAATCGCTTTGCGGTGAACTGAACACGTTTGAATCCGTTTACTGGATACGTGAGTTGACCGGTCTGTTGTGTGGGTTTTCGCACTCATCTACACATGCACTCGGTTACACACTTATCCCTTTCACAGGTGTTTTCAATTTGATAATCCTTGTCAATTTATCTCGCGCAACAACCAAAACCATCGGATTTGATAAGATTCAATCGACAGCAGTAAACTCAGAAAGTGTTCCCTCTACAACAAAAATCTCTCATATCCGATACTGTGCCCGAATACGCTTCAAACACATTCAATCTCCTTGTTTTTTCAGCATCTCTACAAAAGTCGACCGCACAGACCAGCGTCACGTGTCCGTTTGATGGCGGGTTTCAGCTCACCGCGATCAAAGTGTTGAATCGGGAGAAAGTGAGTATATATGTGTGTTGCATGGGAGAATCACAGACATGGCCTATTTATAATGCATGAAATGTGTGCGTTTCAAATGCAAATTCAGTCAATCGACTTCGCAGGACGCGACGCGACAACGAGGGCTGAGAACGTCTTTATATCATCGCAAAAAAATATACATCACACGGGTTGATTTAAATGTTGATTGAATCTAACCAACAAGGTTTCAACTGAGTCAGCAGATTATCAGTCAATTGTTAGTCGAAATTTCCCGTTTTGTTTGCTTCCCAACAGGCATGTAAAGGATTCGAAACGTTGTCACCTGAGGATGAATGGAATCATTTGAAATTATTCAACTTTTTTTAGGGTTTTGACTCGAAGAATTTCTTTCGCACTGTTATTCAACATCGTTCCGCTTGGTTTCAAACATCTCAGTGCAATTTCAATAAAAATGCGTGATCGTGGAAACCATACTTGGCTTCCGAGTTCCCGACACAGAGCTCTCAATTTGGTTTTCCTAATTAAATATCGGGTATGATTCAAATTGTGGACATCAGTCCAGTGTGGCTGATGTAAGTAATATTAGCAGGTATCAAACTGCTTGCCAAGTTGAACTTAGTTGAAGTGAACAATTCATTATTGTAGCTGATGCAACGGTAAACCACCAACCGCGGTACCGACAAGGTGAAGGGGTGCGTGTAAACACTTGTACCATTTGATAATGAGAACATTCAATCAAAATCATGTGTTCAGTGTTTTAGCAGAGATATGCCAACGTAATTTGGTGAACTATTTCCCGGATTTTATTAAGTTTCCTAAACGAGTCATAACCCCAGGGGCTAGTACTGAGGTGCGCAAGCTTCGATGCTTATAATGAGCTCGTCAGGATGAGATGTTCTATATCCTGTATAAGGAAAATGAAAACCGGCCCGATCAGCTGTTTGGCAGCCGTGTGAGTAGTATGCTCGCGGTCTGCCCGTGAGCTCCCGGGTTAGATACTCAGGTGGATCGAGGGGTTCCCACTGTTGATGATGGGACCCAAGCAGATCAAAACAGCTTCTTTGCCTTTGACTGAACATTTTGTTTGCTCTTTGCAGAACGACATTCACCAAACACAGAACAATATATTCGCGCGGAATCTGTATTTACCCTATTTTCAAACCCCTTTTCACAGTCCATTTGTGATTACCAGACATACGGGACACTGGAAAGTGACTGTATTGCAGGAGATGGTACAGAATGGTCATTTGATGATCCCAAGTGCAATTTGTTTGAGTTCAAACAAGGTGAGCCTAATTTTTACACAAAATCTGTGTAACCGTTATTAACCGGTAGATTATGATTATGCATACAATTACAGGTCTTGTTGAGGATAATAATCCCCGTGGACATGAACTGTGAACTTTCACTCAGTGAAACGACTCCGTCGAAGCAGCATACGCGCGTCAAATTGTTGAATTTATCGGGGATCGTGAAAAGCATGACGCTTGCTTGCTCACTCGTCTAACCCATGAGCCCACGCCTGACGTGGTAGCATGAATGCATAAACTGTAAACGCCTTTCAGACGAACAATGTGAACAACCAATTCTCCACTGGATCTGTCTATTCTACTGTGGCTCCAATTGGGACAGAATTGTTTCGGCACGTACAGCAGAAATAGTCTTCTGTTGTAGGCGTGACAGCAATTCAAACAATCTGTCGAATAGAAATGCATGGAAACAGCTTCTTTTGATATCATTCAAACCAGACAGTGCAATATGATACGGGGCTAAAACCGTTTGGAAAAACTGTATGATATTTGAAAGTGGTGGGGGCGACAAACTGTCAAACACTTACCCCCCCCCACTCCCCCATTGTTGGCGTACTCACTTAAACCGTTAAACAAATAGCTGTCTGAATTGCTTCATTACTAGCAGCATATGACAATCATGCATGCGAGACCTTAGCACGGACTTAACAAGTAGCATTGTTTACCACAAAGTTAGGCCGATTTCTAGGCACACACCGAAGAAATTAATGGATCTTCAGGCTGGGATTGTTGAATCACACGCAAACATATGAAACTGCTCAATTATATATATATATATATATATATATATATGAATGTGAACGAAAATGAACACGTCTGGCAGACATGTTCACACTGTTCGCACGTATTCTGCAAAGATGATCCAAGAAGCGTGCTCGCACGCCAAACTGGGCACGAATGCAACACACTTGGGAAACGGAAGTGTGCATCAGCGACTGTGTTTGCACGCCTAGAGCATATGAAACCTGCTGACAGGATATTGGAATCAAGCGTAAATTAAATTACAGTCGAGCGTTAGTTTAAGTCTATTCTTGCCTCCCCAGAGCAGTGTGACGTATTCCAATATTCTTTGTCTAATCGCCCGGATCATAAGGTGCTGTGAGTCGAGCTAGTTTAGTGGTTGCGCAGCCTAGACAGCGCATGGCAAATGTGTGTAATCCAGACGGGTTGACTGATTCGAGTTGGAAAAATATCATTTGCTAATTGTTTGTTTGCATTCTGAGTAAATTTTATTCGATTCAGGAGTTCCTCCACATTCAACAGTTATTTACTATTTGTTCATGTTCAGTCACCAAACTCAGTTGTTTGGTCAGTTGGGAGGAAACTGGACTCACCTACGTCCTGTTACGACTGTTCCGCGACGATGACGGGCATACTGTGTATTCCATGGTGAGTTAAACAGTCATTTTGCGGTCTGATTGTGAACACGGGCAGTTGTTACTTTGATGGATGACGTGATAGTCGTTGGTGTGGGTTGATGTTTTGGAACACATTTGGTGTATCTATCATCTAGCCGAAATTGGGTGCTATACTGACAACGGGTTTCATGCTATTGGAAAAAACCACGTAGTCTCTTGAAATATTTTTGTCCTACCCATTGCTCGTAATCCGGGATTTTAGAACAATCTTTCGCATAACTTGCTACCCATAAACTGTATAATCTATAGACCTGAGTCTTGCTCCTGATGGATCTCATCCATCAGAAGGGCAGTGCACTCGTCAGTCACCTGTGTGTTCCGTAGTCCCGATCCTTCATGAAATGCAAGCATGAAATGATGACTCCACGATTGCTCCTCGAGTCTAGCTCTTCTTGTGTTTATTTATGATTGCATAGTTTAACAGAGGGCTGAGCGCAGAAATGAAACCAAAGTAAAGTATATATATATATTTATATAAATACTTCGGTTTTTGTCTTTCTTAATTTTCTTGAGGTTGGAAAAGTTTCAAATGACCGTCATCTCCGTTGTTTGAACAAATCGCCAACCCAATATGGTATCATTATGTGGTGGATTTCGTGTTTTGGAGACGGGTTTGTTTAGTGCTGGATCGGTGTCATGCCCGCAGGAAACGTGTAAAGAAATTTTGTAAACTAAATCATGAGAAGGAAATAAACTAAATACAGTCTGATGAATTGCTCGACAGTCACGTGGATAGTATGCTTGTGTATGATCACGGGTTTGATTCAAAAACTCCGATCGATATATTCACACGCCAGTGATGAAACCAGCAGCAGGTGTGCGCCGCTCACCGGTTTCGTTTGCTCTGCATACGTCAAATGTGTACCATATGATCAATTCAAATCAGCCAATACTCTCATGCAAAGTATAGTTGCAGTGAGTTCCAGGTTAACGGGTACGTGAATGTGTACATTCAAAGTGGCGCATGTTGAAGGGAAAGACTTTATATCGTTACTCCGCCGTAGCTATACCCAGGAAGTTTACATGCCCGGATCCCGTAAAACTGAATTAAAGATTTACACAGGGAAATTCTCTCAAGGTTTCTGTTTAATTTAAATTTGTCAGGATGCTCCAAAAGCACATACTGATAAAAAATCACTGAAACGCGGCAAGGGCCCAGTGGTATGTGGTATCAAAGCATTGTAGCTTACAACATTTAGAATCCCGTTAACTTCGCTTCACCGCCCAAGTATTTCCCAAACTTTAGTCAAATATAACCTTTTACCTGAAAACTGCTTGTTCCACTATCGTATTAGTAATACATGTGATTATTAAATGTAATATTGCTATTACTAGATAATTGCAGTGTGGGATTTGATTTGATGGTGCGGTGAGTATCATCGTGCAAAGGTCAAATGTAACGTGAACTGAAAATCTTAGAAGTTGTGGACAGTATTTTTGGCTTTGTTAGGTTTCATCAGTAGCGTCGATAAAACAACCCAACGGGGGGGGGGGGGTTGAAACCGAGGCCTCACACGAATAAANACACAAGAGGGTGGAAAAGGCTGTTGGTTCTTTTTAGTTCACGCTTCACTCTACATTTTTCACACTACTATTACATTGTGGATCTATTGGAAAGCTGATAATTCACATATGTAAAGGGATATTTTACATGATTTCTATTTACTGCCACTTATAAAACTTTTGAAGCATTAAATCTCACAGGAAACCATGGAAAATTAAATAGTTTTCAAAACANAAAACATCTGCGTACATAATTCTATTTTGTGCGTGGATTAATGTGATGTGCTCTCGGTTAGGACAGAATCACAGACTAATGAACCGTGTGCTGCTACTACAGAACATTCACGACACCAGTTGACTTGCTTTCTCTTGTCAATCGCTTGTTTAGATCTGTATTACCCTTAAATTGTTCAATGAAACCAATCGAGTTATTCAGTAATTTAACAACAAATTCGGATTCACCGTAGCAAAATCGCCAGTGGTTGGTTACGCAACACGTTTGCTACAATATATAATTAAACAAAAGGACCTGTTGATCTTTTTTCAATAATTAAAACCGACTATTCTTCAGACTTGTAATTGACGCACATTTCCCAGCTCAGCCAGTTATCATTCGGAAGCATTATATTCGAGTTTCACTCTTATTAGAGCTTATCAGTAGTTCATATCCACCATCCCGTCCGAAACCTAAACTCCGGCCCCATCGCATGGAAGGCATGTGGTTAGCCCTGTGCCTATCAGCTCACACCATGGCTGAACCGAGTTGTCAATTTATGTTTTTTCAGGTATTATCATCAAAGATAGTTAATCTATGACAATCTGTTTACTCCAATCAAAAATCTTCCACCGAACCCGTTCTTTCATGCACGTTACGGGCTAACTGGTTGTACTAGACTGGATTAGTAATTCGCATTTAACTCAGTCGCAGACATTAGTAATAACATTCTACCGTGAAAGCCAAATACGTATGGCGTTACTAGGCAGAACAGATGTACTCGTGCACCCCTTAGTATCCGGAAGGAAATCTCGAACAGTTCCCAAATTCCCAAAATCACAAACGACTTCAGTGCTCGAAGCCAAAGCTTAAAATATACTTTATAACAATTTGTTCCACTTGAATTCACCACACACACACACACAGGTCTACACGGATGTGCCGGGTAAACATGGAGCGAGCACAAAGTCCTACCAGAATCCGGTTCCCATTTGGATTGGATTGGGTCTGCGATTGCCCGCCAAATTGTCCGATTCGTTAGCCAAGGCTAATCCACACTTTCGACCGCATTATGACTTCATAAGGAATACCATCGAGCACGATCACACACTCAGCGGTGTGTGGAATGACGAGACACGGACGTATGAATTGCAGATTCGACGAGCGTGTAAGTTATCAGCTGAATGTGTGCAGCAAATACCTAATTAAAATTGTAATTTGCTTCAATCTCAAAAGAAATTTTTACTGGTTATTCTGTTTCTTTTCATACAAAATTACATTTTTCGGCTTATCCGTATTGTTACAAAAATGGAAAAGCATCCAATGAAATGTATTTGTGGAAGAATGATGATTTTCTTTCTGTTTTGAGTGAATTTCTTCATCGTAAAATGCTTTTTAAGAGGTGAATTGGTGACAAATTGTAGAGGTTGTCAGAGCACGAATGATGTAACAGATCTACAATGAAAAATTTAGCAACAAATATATTATACTTACTATTTTTATTTTGATGAATTAGAAGCATAAAGTATGGGAACAGATTGTGCTTCACTGCCCAGCATGATTTATCCACCAAACTGTAGTCATCGGTGAGGTGCCCAATAGAAACGGAGATGTACTGACAGACATTTCAAAGAACGCACAACTCGCAACCATTACGACTGTAACATGTAACATGGACCAAAACTGTGATTATGCGTGTATTTGATTCGGTTAAATTTTCGGTCACATTTTAGGATGGCTTTAACTTGACACAGATAATTACAAATACGACTCAATAACTACGTACAATTGTGATTTATTAACACTTGTTTTTTTTTTTAATTTTTAATTTTTCGTCAGTTGGCATGTGTGATGATGAGCGAACCACATGCGACCGTGGTTGTGATTTTGACGCGAGAAATCGACTCTTCTGTTACCGGACCTGTGCAGGGGATGAGAAAAAATGTGGTAAGTGCACGTGACCGGTATTGATTAATTTGTCATCACGATTCGCCCACCTAACACACACACACACACCTTGTGATGGTTCTCGTGTCGGTGAAGTGACAACGCACAAAGGTATCTCTTTTTCTGCATTTTTGAGGTACGAGCTCTTGAGATTGTGCACCAATGCCAATAGTAGACCATTGACAGGTAAAATGCGAAATAAACTGTGAGGTGCCGATATTGTCCGTTACTGTGAGGCTAAAATCCAAGATTAATCGTCTCCCGTGACCTTTATTTTCTAACTACCTCCAAATGAGTGAAGAAAACAAAATTTGAATGAAGTTTCTTTAGTTTATGAAAACGATGAAATTATATTTATAACCGGATTAAATACTGTTAAATACCGTGTGCGCTCTCGATTATAGAATTCTATCCAAAAGTCTTTTTTCAATCGATAATTTCTCGGATTTGGGTGTATTATACGGTCCATGATAAAAGAGGTATCTGTTACCATGTTTCAGCTTATACTTCCAAGAAATCCAGTGCATTATTCACCGCCATAAAATTCGCTCCCATTGATCTGACCGTCAGCACATACGAGATTGGGACCGTTGCACGACAACACATCACAGAGGGTGACTGACAAATCAACCGGATCTATCCAATAAATCATTTATTTATTCACTTCTGTTTGTATGACGCTAACTGTTATCTTGCTTTCCCTCACAAACGTACATTTGCTCATTCAAAAGACATCACTCTAATGAAAGATATGTTCATTTCTATCCGGATATGATTCATTCACCTGTATAGATAGAATCAAAGTTTTACGGGATATATAGAAAGTGCGCAGAAATAAAACAATACCTTTAGACAACTGAGTGACGATTGATCTTTTGTTGGTGGCCTGATAATAGCTTTATGTACCCCAGTCTCTCATTGCAAATCTGAACCAGCTATTGTCAGGCGCGTACTGTTTCACCCTGACCCGGAATACGGTCCATAAAAGACCGCACAGAAGCATATCGTTAACGTCCGCATAGATCTCACACTTCCATTCATTTATTTTCCGTATGGAAAATCCTAATTCTCAACTGGAATATTGAATCCCCGTGTAAATACAGTTCGAATAAGAGAGTGGATATACTTTTTTATTTATCAATGAACACAAAACAAAGAATTTCCCCGCCGAATAAGTGTGCTCTCCCTCTCTGGGGTACGAAAGCTTTAAGGCAAAGATATAGACATTAGAACTGGGAGGGGGAAGCAGCTGGTAGCTACTTGTGTCATCCAGTTACTCCCAATCAAATTGAGCAAGAATGCGAAAAAGACAGCTATTTTGTTTCATTTCAATATATCAGATGGGAATGCAGAAAGAACCAATCGTAGGAGCTTATAGGTCTAACTTTATCCATTAATCTATGCCTTCGACAAAGTAAGCAGGGTTTTGGCAGCTTATGTCATTGGGAATTCAAAATAGGAGTGTTACGTGTAGTTTCGCAATTTCGATACTTGACCGCATATGCTATTGCTATTGCAATTTGCGTTCATGTTTTTCCTCTAAAATTTGGAAGAAACAACTGGTGCGTCTTCCGTAAGTGACTTCTTCTAAATGCTTCACAAAAATGTGAATTGTCTCGCCAATGTTTAGGGATTTTGCACTAGATTTGAAATGACCAAACCACACAATCACACACATACACACACAATCATCAATCCATTCTGGATGCACCTTAGTCCAGGTTCGCGCTTACTACACCTCATTGCGGGTGCATTTACATCGACAAGTCCGGGAGTAAAGTCACCTATTTTTCATGATTTTCAACATAACTTTATTGTACTACTGATCAACAGGTTTGGGTAATTTTGAGTAACAACTGAAAAACTAGCCTGCGATCGTAGGGATTCAGTGCAGCATTCAGTGCCTAATAACGATAGATTGACTAAAACCCTTTTCGAAGGCTAACGGTGAAGTTTGTGACCCTAAATCGAGTAATATTCTTGGGAAATGTGCATGGATTTCCTGAATACCGGAGTTCATTGCTGTCATCATCGAAATATTAGCTATAGCTCTGCATATGTCTATATCAGATGCTCTCCGCGGTTTAGTTCATTTTTCAAATTACTCTCTGATGATACTTTGAAAACCTTGGACAGCCTCGTTTGAAAAATTGTACGCGTTCATAATGAGGTCAAATAATCGTCAGTATTTAGGGTTGATATATTCACAAGGGATCCTCTCCCAATGACATCGTAATCAGTCGGAATTCTCCTTGAAAGAAATTATAAATAATCTATTGAGACCCTTGCAATATTTCTTTACATTTCCTGCAGCTACAAATCCCCAAATTTATAAAAGTTATACTACTTACATCGATTATTCGCAATCGGCACATCAAAGGATATTGGAACAGTTTGATATGCGAGGTTTTACACTAGTTTTCTGCTTGTTATTATTATCATTATTGAATTTATCATTTTAGTAGTAGAGAAAGTGATGGATATTAGTGGTTTGTGGGGTCACGTTTTTTCTGTTCGAATAGCGGAAATGAAACTCCAAATAATAATTTTTTATGTAGATCTCAAAACCTTTGTATTTTTCGGCGGTGTGCAACTTGGGTTGTGAATTTTCACTCATTCCGTGCACCTAATGAAATGCTCCCATTAGAACTAGTTTCTCAAATTGCCCATGATTGAGGAAACCATACGCACCCCGTTCAAGTAGGGCAAGGTTTTGCCCACCATAAAGTCAAGCCGAAGGGGGATGCACTGTTCCAGTCTGGAGATGAGTGCGTGGGTAGTCAGTTTGGGGACACTCACTTAAAGCACCGATTTCAAACCAAGTGAATTGGGCATCGAAGTTTATTGAGTGTCTCTACGTTTGACCCTGTTCCATGTGGGTATGCTTCAATGAACTGGACCTTTTCCCATCAAGCTTTAGTTCAAACTCGCAACCCTTCAGCCGCGATGCACAAACGTTAGTCACGTTAGTCAGTAGACGAGTTAGATCAAAAAGTATCGGAAAATATTCTGAGGTCAAGAAAAAATTATTTTCTACAAATGGTTATATTGTAAAGCTTGATTAAGAAATGCGGATATATGGTTAGCGCACGTTGCACCACATGTTATTAGTGAATGTTCGGCGATGTGCCTGTGTCGTCAAACCATTTCACATATCTTGCACAGCTTCGGGTTTTCCGTACAACATGCAACAGCCTTATGAGTAAAAATCTCGAATTTAACACAAATGGTTTGTTGTGTTGTATTCACAAGATATTTTCATCTTTTCCCATCAAGCTTCGGACGAAACCCGTAATTCTTCAGCTTCCATCGTGTTAATTATGTCAACTATTGCAACATTGAAAATTTTTATTATGGGAAAAAACTTACAAAGACTTCGCTTTTACAAATCCCATAGGGTGTTTACACCTTGGTTCGGAACACGATGCACAAGATCATAGTTATTCCATGAAAGTAAAATAGTAATGTAATGTTTCCGACGAGCACAGGAGAATATATGATGTAGTTGGGTGTTAAAACATAATGTTTGCAAGAGTATCATCAAGCTGACACTTGAAAGATAGTAATGTTGAGGCACAGACCACGTGAGGTGGTAGAGAGTTCCATTTGTTGCACACTGACTGCAAATGAATGGCGACTGCAGCCATGACGGCTCTTTTGGTGTGCCAACTTCAGCGGATGCCCTCTGAGATGAACGTTGTGCGATAAAACCAACAGGGGTGGTTGGGTTGTTGGAAAATCCGATAGAGTAAAATCATATCGCCTCTGATTCGACGATATTGGGATGAGTTTAGCCCCAGGAGCTGTAACCTTTCTCCGTGGGTCTTGGAATGCAAACCTTTGACAATTTCGGTA